CCTCCTCCTCGGAATCTGCCCCACCACCATCTCATGCATATCTGCGGCGTGGATTGACTGCGTTAAATTTGACGTTCGGTTCCCATTCACATATTAGTAAGCATTGATTCCATCTACATTACTCGTAAATATCGATACCACATGTCTTGGAGTCGCCATCTTCTCTCGAGCAAAGGGTCGTATTTTCAGTTGTTCATTGCTAACACTGCGGAACGTTATCGGCCGGGAAGCTATCCGTATACGAACACTGCATTCCAACGGAGCTGAGCCATCAGCCGCTAAGGTATATCGTAACAGCGATGTATGCATTATTAATACAAAATGTGACTAAGTAAGATAAGTCCTGCGGTTGAGATATCGCATTCGCTGCTTCTTGCATTGCGAGGTTAAATTTATTGGCTATGACTCAATGGAGTCTACGCCAAATAGCGTCGTCGTTCCCGCACATTTTGATGTGGAGGCATATTCACGCGTTTTCCCTGGTTATTTGAGGCTCAAGTAGCATTCTACTTGTGTTCCCAAGCTTCATATTAGAAGAGGTTGCGTTCATATGCAACCATACAGCCATAACTCCTTTGCTTATTTCGTCCTGCGTTCGTATTAGAAGGCATCATACAAGCTTAATAGTCAACTTCAGAATCAAGTCCGAAATTTGTTATCATCAAGTATAAACTCTTGGCGTACCCTAGGTAGGTAGATTTAATTACATTTCTCCATGATAATTAATACTTGATATATGCCCAGGTCTTATTTCCTTGGTCTCTAGGGGATTTAACTATCTACAACAGCGTAGTATGATATCTCAGGGCATCAGCCGCAGGCTCATTCTAGTATAAATCCACACTTTAGATAACGGTCTTTACCTAATCACAAAAATCATCACACAAGACCGGTCAGTCAGTATAACAGACAACTGGGAGTTTAATACAGAATAATATTCCTCAACCTAAGTCATGAATGCAAGTTTCTCCTTGCCTATATGTTAATTAGTACAGCAATCAATTAATGCTGAGTGATAGTGTACTAAAACCTAAAAATAACTTCTCGTGGAAAAATGATATTGGGCTGCTAGCGTAAAAGATTTTGAGGATCGTCTATTATTATAGGTTCGTGAATGAACCATCTATCTTTTCTTTTTTTTCTCTTTTTTTTTTCCTCCAGCACCAGATGCAGAACAACAGCCATGATCAATGAAGGGGTTAGGAAGGGGTTATACTTACATCTCTTCTCTCTTCTTGCGGCCATCGCCACAATTTCGTCCTCCACCTCGTTCACGAATCACCGGCACTCCAAACATTCGTTTGGAGTCCTGACTCGAACGGAAAAATTCCACCTATTAATTTTATGTTAGTATGAGTTCTGCGAGTTTAACCACTCGACCATGGCTGTTGTTCTGCTGGTGGAAAGTATCTTTGATGACTGGACATATGAACCTTACTGAGAGTAGGAGGTAGTTCCTACCAGGTACATTTGGCAGTACGCAGAAGGCCGAAGCAAGTGCGATGTTATTACATCTGTGGTGAGATGACGAATCGCGACTAACGAATGGTTCTTTCCCGTTGGTACATCCTGTCTCTTTGCAAACGTAGATGCCAGTTACCTTACCTATGGCCTACTATGGTAGCAGCTAGGGAGATGGCCATAATCAATCGCTAAACAGCAGATTTAATCCTTCCTTGTTAAGCTTCTGTTAATAGATATCGAATTTCTTGTGAATTTACATCTTCGAACTGAAGAGGTTGATCAGTACATGTACCTAGGTAGGTACATGTACGTAATAGGTAGCCAATGAGAGATAACGTTCTGCCCTAAGAGGTTATGCGGGGCATCCCATTGTCGAATCACAATAGGGAAGTTACAGAGTGACGGGGACACAAGAAAGACAACTTATTTACCGTCTTCAAGTATCAAAAGTAGGGATTTATGGAAAGTTTTATCCAGTTCATTATTTTCCCGTCTCATTCACACTGCTCACATTCTTCGGCGGCTTGATATGTACATGTACGTGTGGGGCAATAAGACTGTAAGAAAATACCTAGGTACCTAGGTGCCTTACGTTACCTGAGCTACCTAAGGTGTAACCCCAAACCCACACTAGTGCGTTGCGCCGCGCGCGTGTCCTATCGATAAGCACCGGTTTGCCAGTGACCAAATACCAAACCAAAAACCAAAGCTCTGGTTTATCTTTTCCTACCTAGTACAACCTTTACATCCTTTCCAACTTCCCACATCCTCATTCAATTCTTTTCCCTTCAACCAAAACATGATCAACAATGGCGAACGCAGCTCCGGTTGATATCGTCAATGGGAACGGCAACGCCCTGGGAGCTCCGTCTCCCAAAAAGGTTGCCTACTTCTACGACTCCGACATTGGTAATTTCGCCTACGTCGCTGGTCATCCCATGAAGCCGCATCGCATTCGTCTTGCCCACAGCCTGATCATGAATTACGGCGTGTACAAGAAGATGGAGATATATGTAAGCCTTACCTCTTATTTATTTAAACCTTCTTCACGGTATCGTATCGCTAATAATTCCCAGCGTGCTAAGCCCGCAACCCGCCTTGAGATGACCCAGTTCCACACGGACGAGTACATCGACTTCCTGCAGCGAGTTACTCCCGAGAACATGGACAACTTTGGTCGAGAGCAGGCCAAGTACAACGTCGGAGATGATTGCCCGGTGTTTGATGGCCTGTTTGAATTCTGCGGAATCAGTGCCGGTGGCAGCATGGAAGGTGCCGCTCGCCTGAACCGACAGAAGTGCGACATCGCTGTGAACTGGGCTGGCGGATTGCATCACGCAAAGAAGTCCGAAGCTAGTGGTTTTTGCTACGTTAACGGTATGTCTTATGTCTTATCAATTTCCAATCACTTGCCTTGTTCTGCTAACAACATGTCTCCTTCAATAGATATCGTTCTCGGTATCCTCGAGCTCTTGCGCTTCAACAAGCGCGTCCTCTACATCGATATCGATGTTCACCACGGTGATGGTGTCGAGGAGGCCTTCTATACCACCGACCGAGTCATGACGGTCTCTTTCCACAAGTATGGCGAGTATTTCCCGGGAACCGGTGAGCTTCGTGACATTGGTATCGGCCAGGGCAAGTACTACGCCGTCAACTTCCCGCTCCGTGACGGAATCGACGACTCCTCGTACAAGTCCGTCTTCGAACCTGTCATCTCGAGCGTCATGGAATTCTACAACCCGGACGCCGTGGTTCTTCAATGTGGTGGTGACAGTCTGTCTGGTGACCGTCTCGGTTGCTTCAATCTCAGTATGGCCGGCCATGCCAACTGTGTCAAGTTCGTCAAGAGCTTCAACCGACCTACCTTGGTCCTAGGCGGCGGTGGCTACACCATGCGCAACGTCGCACGTACCTGGGCCTTTGAGACTGGTATTCTCGTCAATGCTAACATGGACCGTACCCTTCCATTCAACGAATACTACGAAGTAAGATTTACAGCTCACCTTTTAATTTGTTCAACTACTAACTCTAAGATTAGTACTACGGTCCCGACTATGAGCTTGATGTCCGCGCCTCCAACATGGAGAATGCCAACAGCCCCGAGTACCTCGAGAAGATCAAGAACCAGTTGGTCGAGAATCTACGACGAACTGCTCATGCCCCCTCGGTGCAGATGCAGGATGTACCCCGTCATTCGATGGGAGCAATGTCGGACGAGGAAGACGCCGAGCTTGACGATCTCGATGAGGACGAGAACAAGGATGTTCGCATGACCCAGCGCCAGTGGGAGCAACATATTGAGCAGGAGAATGAGTATGAAGAGAGCGACCATGAGGATCTTGATCGCGCCAATGGAGTCCATCGAAATGGAAGTACGCGTCCGTCTTTCAATGACTATCGAAACTCAGATGTGGAAGCCGACAGCCGAGCTATGACCCCAGCTAATGGTCAGACTGACAGCGTCATCAACTCTAAGGAAACTGACGATGTTGCCATGGAGGATACCGAGGAAGGTGCACTAGTAACCGAACTCGACACCAGCGCGTCTCCCAAGCGAGATGACAAGGAAGTCGACGAGGAAGTGCAGGCTTCAGGCATCGCCGAGCAAGAAGAGGCTCTCAAGAAGTCACAAGATGCCTCCAAGTCCGACCACGATAACTCCGAAACTGCACAGAGTGCCACTCTTGATCTGGACTGGAGCGATAAGACCCTGCCATCTAAGGAGGACGAGGTCATGCAGGATGCCGATGGCAGCACCAAGCCACCCGCAGCGGAGGCTGAGAAGGCATCCAGCACACCGCCCGACGCCAAAGACGCACCCGCACTCGAGAAGGTGGATGCAGATGGAGATGTCGACATGGACAAGCCCGCCCCGGAGGCACCCATGCAGGAAGAGAACGTAGATGTCAAGAAGGAGCCGGCAACGGAAGAGACCGGTGCTACTACGTCTTCTCCTACAGCCAAGACAGATGCTGCCCCGAATGCCGCGAGCTCTTAGGATGACTGCTCCTTATTTTGATACCCAAGGTTTTCTTTCCCCGATAGGTGATCGTCTGCGGACAAGGCTCGATTGATCCAGTGCACAGGCGGACAGGGGCGTAATTACGGACGGTGTTCACCGGTGGACATGGTATGAGCTGTACATTAGTGGACAAGCAAGGCGTTCAGGTTCTAGCATAAGGTACTCTTCATGGCAAGGCCCCCTGGTATTGACTTCACAGAATAGGTACAGATTCATGCTTATGCTAAGTAGAGAGTAATTGACTCGGTAACCCTTATATTTCGTTCTGCTAAGTGCTACATCGTGACATCCTGACCTTAGCATCTGCTGCTAGCTAATTTCGTCCCTAATGTGGTGCTCCCTCTACATTAACATAGGTAGGCGGGTATGCGGATAGCTACCACTTAAGATATAACAGGGCGAGCAAACGGTCTTCGTAAGTGGCCCCTTCTTCCTTCTTTGCCTGATATAAGTAAATAACAAATCTTTCAACCCTAAGGAATCCCGGTCCCCTTCCCTAACTCTGTGCCAGACCGCACTAGAGAAATGGTTAACTCGTTGGCCTCCTATTACCAAAAAACAATAGCCGAAGATTCCGGGTTCGAGTCCCGGGCGTGGTCTATTTTAGTTCGTCTGGTATTCTCTTTCGGTAGTCCTTTTTTATCTTCCGAGTTCCTCTTGACTTACCCCTACGTTTGTCTGGTTGGTGGAGCACTACCTCGTTTCTGATTCTACAAGTAAGGGGTAAGTTAGTATGCAAATAAGTCGTAAAGCACCTCTTACCCCACCGTCCTTCAGCCATTTATAGTCAGACCGGTCCAACACATTCCGATCACTGCGTCCGAGAGGAGGGTAGGCTCCATAAATGTGTTCTTCCTCCAGCAGGACTCAGTCAACTTGGCGTGGCAGTACTCACTGGGCCCCTTTCACTGACATATGTAGCGTATTGCAAAGCTTCAGGCCGAGTTGCTGCACGTCGTGACGTATGAGTTTCATAAATGCTGGTAACGGCGGGCGTAGGTGCGTTACCGAGTTGATATACCGGCCTTTGCAGATCCTCTCATCAGCCTATAGCGATGCTCCAAGATGTCTTCGGCCAGTTTACAGGAGTAAACTAGAGTGGGATATGAGACTTTGCGAGTCAGATTATGCAGCAATATCAATACATTTTATGGTTTGGACTTTCATCAGTTCAACTAAAGGGCTCGAGAGCTGACCTGCTTTAACGTAGACTGAGCCTGCTTAAGCCTGCTTAAAGGAGTAAAGAGTCAGGAAGAAAGGGCGGTAAAGAGAATCACTATGTTAAAAGCGTAGGCATCGTTGCTAACAGGTATTCTTGTTTTTAGATCTCACATTCGCCTATCAGGAGATAGATATCGGCGATGGGCGTAGGTACATAAGGCACCTGCAAGGAAACACGCGCCGTCCCGAATCCTGCAGTGTGCACTTTATAATTATGCTGTGTAATGTTGCACGCATCTGACTGTGTAACGAGGTACGCAGTTAACTACCTATTCAAAGGAATCGCATCAAATAATCATAATTGTAAGCATGAGACAACTTCTATTCGCATAGTGACGCCCTAAGGGAAAATTCGATTTTTCCTTTCATCGAAAGAAGAAGTTGATTTGGTACCTAGCATTTCTGGCAGCTTCACGAATGTAATGCACAACTAGGTAGGAAGTGGCTTGACGTTAGTTTTTGACTGTCTCACAATACTGTATACTTCGGTAAATCCACGACCCACCTGCCTACCCACCAGGATGTAGGTTTTCCAGTCTTTATTAAGGAAAAGTTCCTCCTAAGTATTCGATACGTCTAGCTAAGAGTAACCTATGAGTAAATTTTATTTGTAGTAAATATCATTCGTCACAGATCAGACAATGTTATCGTCAACCTCAACTTCACCAGCAAACGATACGCTGCCCACTCACGACATGGCAAACCGGCGTGCCCGGCGCCCCACTAAAACCAAAGCCGGCATTCCTCAGCTGAATTGCGAGCTATGTCGGTACGCGAAGATAAGTCTATTGCTGCTTTTCTTCGTCTCTGACCTTATTTCGTATCAGGGAGCGAAAGATCAAATGCGATAAATCAAGTCCATGTTTTAATTGCACGAAAGCAGGTATTATATGCGTGCCCATTTATCGCAAACGGCTACCTCGGGGTCGCCACACCAACCCCCAGCCACCCATTACTGATAGCGATGAGCTAAGAGATCGCATCCGAAAGCTGGAGACCTTGGTCTCCGGCATGAGCGAGTCACGGCTTCTCCCCAATGCCCCGGTGGTGCTTTCGAGGCCCGGTCCGACAACGCCAATTAGTCCTGGAGCCACCGGTACCGAGAAGCAGGCTGGACAGCAATTCTGGGACCATATCACCGAAGAAGTAATTGATGCTCACCCTCATCTGAGATGCTCTCGCTAGAATTGACACGTCATGAATAGATTGACGGCCTACGGGGTATCATCAGCAATCCCTCTGATGACGAGGAGAGCATCGAATTAAATCAGAATTCGATTTTTACTCCAAGTACTGGCATGAGAATATTGGACATTTGCCCTCCACATGATAATGTTCGTCGATCAAGCGCCAAGATGTCGTCGCAACTATGCCAGGTCTACCTGTGCCAGGTAGATCCGATAATCAAAGTGCTACACCGGCCATCATTGAGCAAGTTTATGTTAAATGGACAACGTTACTTAGGATACGAACCCGGCCACTTCGCTGCAACATGTCTCTGTGCCGCCGTCTGCTACTCGGCCGTCGCGAGCATGACAGAGGAGCAATGCCAAGCCATGTTCAGTACTGCTAAGTCGACCACAATAATTGATTATAGAACAGCATGCGAGGCAGCACTTGAGAAATCAGATTTACTCACCACAAGTGATATAACCATTCTCCAAGCATTTATATTGTACCTTGTTGCCAGACGGACTGAGGATTCCAGTCGGGCCGTGTGGGCCATGATTGCACTAGCTGTACGAATAGCGAAAGCTCTGTCTATTAATAACACGGATAGAGCCGGGTCTTTCTTCGACAGGCAAATAAGAAAGAGATTGTGGTATACAATATGTGTCTTGGACCTCCAGGCATCATTCGAACAAGCCTCCGAGCCGCTCATAGAACTCGATGTAGAGTCTTGGTCCTCGGCCCTGCCTAAAAATATCAATGACTCGGAATTCGACGTCGACACATCCGGGGAGGTTCAGAGTAGAAATGGGTTAACTGATGTAACCTTCGCGCTAGTAACATACAACGCACAGCTAAGCGGCCGGCTTCTCAATTACGGCAGGAGCGCGGATCTCAGTAACGGCAAAAGCGCGGACGCCTTCAACTGGGAAGAACGAGAGAAGCTCGTTTCGCGTTTTGAGCAGGATGTGCTTAATCTCCTCAAGTTTTGCGATCCAGAAGCGAACGCGTACGCGTGGTTGGCTTTTCATGGCACACAGTCTCTAGTAGCAGCGATGGGCTTGTCGGCTCTAAGACCACTACATCGCGTTGGGAGCAAACCCAATCCTCATCCATCTCCTGATTTACTCAATGTCGCACTTAAGGTCTTGGATAAGGTACATCTCTTTAGAACCAATCCGAGGGGAGAGGGGTTCAGATGGTATGTAACAGTGCAGTGGCATGCACTTGCGATCGCCATCGCGGAGTGTTACGTCTGTGCTGATATCGGCGTTCTTCGGAGTGCCTGGTCAGTGGTGGAAGCAGTGTTCGAACACCATAAGACAGTTATCGAGAACTATCGCCAGGGAATGCTGAAAAAGCCACTGGATAGGCTGATGAAGCAAACTCGGAAAAGGGTCAATCCACTTCTACGAGGACAGAATTCCTTTCAACGGCCATCGCCGCTGGACGTTGGGTCTTGGGGGTCATATAGCATGGATCAAACGGTGCAGTCAGCACTACAGTCACCAAGCGTCATGGCGACAGAAACGGACTCCCCCTGTCATATAGGTCCGCCTCCGGCACAAACGCACCCCCAACAGCCAATGGCATCTCTTGGTTTCGACTTTGGTGGTGTTAGCTCGCTATTTAATTTTGACAGCCCTGCTATTACACATCCTCCAGATCCGTCTTGGCCCTCAGTGTCAATCGCCCAAAGCCCGGAAGTTGGTGGTGGCGAGGCTGGCGATGCGTCATGGAAGACGTGGGAAGAATTCGTGTCGGGGCTCTCATTTGACGATATCTCTTAGCATTCAAGGTTCCGGCGCATCACCTAAGTATCTACCTAGCTAGAGGGAGTACCGGGGCAGGATCTAATATCTGAGGGGAGTTCACTGTAGTACTGACAACCTAACAATCAATAAGCGAAACAACTCCAATTATCAGAGGGGAGAAAATGCCATGCATTACAGAATATCGATCGTAAGGGAGTGGGGTGTCTTTCTAATGATCTAGGAGAGCGGAGATGTTCCTATGAAGGCATCGATGCGGAAACCTCTACACAACCCTTCAGCCCGCCGCGTACTTGGAAATGGCACGTAGCCTACCACCGTAAAGCCAAAAAACGAACGGCGATGGAATGCCAATCGCTATACTAAGGAATCCCAGAAGACTGTTTCCCCATTTGTAATCTAATCTTTGATACATGTATGGGGCGAAGAGAGGGAAACCAAAGCCTGCCAAGCTACGCAGCACAACAGCAGCGGCGAGTCCAGATGCGGCGAAACGAGAGTAGCTATCAATAATATATGCTTGCATACACTGAAGGCAGACGATGGCACCCGCGGAGAAAATGGCAATACCGACGTTGGGCATTATCCAGTGCAAACGCGCTTGTACGCTCCACCCGTACCAAAAAAGGCCGGCAGGAATAAGTATGGAACCGACGAACATGGGCGGGATACGGAATCCGGGTTGGCCTATGTCGTTGTTTTTCGTCTTCAGTCGCCTGTAGATCGTATCGTTGACCTGGGCCATGGTTTGCGCGCCGACAACAAACCCTACGCCAAGGGAGATATAGTTCAGGCCACCGATTCCTACACTCTCGTGATAAACTTCCTGCCAAACTGTGGGGAAACTCGAAAGGAGCAGATTAAAAAAGTCCGAAAAGGTAGGCCATATACAGGGCGATGACTTGCACAATCGGTTGCGTAGCCAGCATGCGGGAGGGTCTGACGACAGCATCGCTAAGTGTCGAAAGCAAGCCTTGACCGTTGTCTTGTCCCGGACCTAAGGTTAGCTCGTTATTCCCCGTCTCCTTCCGCAGTCTATCTCGCTCAGAATAAGTTAGCCTTTCATCCGACTCGGCTACAGAAATGAACGAACCTCAAGAGACCAAGCCGCATCCCAAATTCCACGCGAGGTAAAACATATTACTCCATAGGATGACGCGAACCCTGCCGAAGCTCTCGGAAAGCGGACCGAAGAGAAGGGGACCGACGGCATATGCGAGGACGAAAATGGAGAGCACGAGCTCAACCTCGATTTGACTCTTCTTCATGTTAAGTTCTTAGCTCATGGCAGCCAAGGCCAGCGCCACCATCAACAACGAAACGGGGGAGATAAAAGTAAAAGACACGACAAGAGTAGCCGCCCATTTCTTTCCCATGGACCAGTTCTTGGGATTCTCCGGATCGTCCGGCCCGGACCACATTACCTAGATCAGGAA